TTATGAGCGTCAGTGTATACAGGGTGGGGCACATAAATGGGTAGACCTAAATATCTCGGCTGTTTATAGACATATAAAAAAACTGTCTCAGGCGAAGGTAAACTATTTCACGAAATGAACAAAATGATAAGAAAATTTTCTCAAGGTCATTATTTTCGAGATTTCAAGGTCGTCGGTGTTTTTTGTCTAACATCATATATTTGTTTCTATATCCTTACAGAATACAAATGAAAAATACAATATCCTTAATAACGTGCCATTCCGATCACTTAATCGCAAGATATTTTCATCAGAAAAGAAAGCTAAAATAAATGCTCAAAGTAATGGGTGTTGGCATCAATGCACAATCGAAGTCTATTGATGAATGTTCTGTGATTTATATGAATATTATCAAAACTCGTGGGACGTTGTTTTACTCAAGGAACACTTACTGGTCAGAAATATGCTGCGTTTCTCCGTGAAATTCTACCATAACTGTTAAAAAATATTTCATTGAACATCAGACAATGTATGTAGTTTCAACGTGATCGTTCTCCGACATATTACAGTAGATTTGCAAGAGCCATATTGGTTGAAAATGTTGATACACGTTGGTTCGGAAATGTATAGCAGGGAAATAGGCCCAAATTTCGCCTGCCTAAAATTTTTTGTTTTTGTTCGAAACCTAATCGATGTTATAGTCTGACAATAATTGTATAGTCCCTTTGAAACCTTAATTACGAAACCCTCTAATCACTTTTCTAATCTATTTTGCCACCCCATAATTATAGTGCTTAAGCAGCTTTTAGTGAATTGAAGTAAATTTTACAAATGACTGGTATTTATACAAATGTTTTATTTATGAAAATATAAAAATAATGTTTCTTTAAGTAAAAATAGAACGAAAACTAAAGAATAACATCATATGAATGAAATCACTATAGTGCACTACGTATAAAACATTATACAGTAAATCCTTAATGAGTGTTCGAAGGTTCCTCGGCACTGAACATTAAATATTTCATAAACTAATGGCCATATACGGTTGAAACAAATATCATTGACTTTAGAATTCCAAACTCCATCACTGTGCTAAACCTCATTGAAAAGTCAACGTTACACTTAGGGATCTCTCTTTGTCAGTGCCGAGGAGCCTTTGAACACTCATCGAAGATTTACGTTACAGTCGTAATTTATATTTATATTGACGAACGCGTTTGTTTATTCTGCCAGTTTATTAGAATCATATTTAACATAAGATTTTACAATTGCCACCAGGCTGCGGCACTTAACACTATGGATAGAGTGGAGGACGGAATTACACACCGGGCGAAATTTGAGCTCCTTACTCTATACACGTGTGTAAAAAAATTGTTCCCCTTTGTATTTCCATATTCTTACTCTGCGACTACCTTTCATTGCATGTGAGGCAAAAGTAAACAATTTTGGATACTTTACAAATTTGCCACACGGTCTAGTAACTAAAATTCGACAAATCGTATAATCATGTACATACATATACAAAATGAGTAGTTAATGTTTCCAGAAAGAGAAAGTTATTATAGAAATTATTTCTGTAATAAAGTACCTAATTTGAAGAAAGAGTATAGTATAATTGAAACTTTCAGTACAGTGAAAAGGTACAGTGTGACAAATTCACTTTCCCGGAAGTAAAAAATTTGTAAACATGAAATATTTGTGTAATGATTTTCAAGAATGACACAAAAAGTACAATTAAATACATTTAATTTAGAAGAGAACCTAAAGAAAGGAAAATTCCTTTCTCAAAAGGAAGTGCTTAGAATGCCTTCTCTGAATAATTTGAATAAATGCATGAAAACAATTCTCCAATAATTTTTAATAATAAGTGTTATATAGATTTTTGAAATACAACACAGTACGCCTTTAGAAAAATTCAAACGATTTTGCTCCTATGACATTGAGTTGTTTTAACAGGTTTCAAGTGTGAATTTGTAAACTTAGAACATTTGTAAATATTTCCGCATTAACACTTCGATGACAAATGTTTTCTTATCTAACACTCAATGAACGTCCTATTTCTTCTGTGTTGATCTTACCTCAAAATTAACGGCAATGTTTCCACATAAAAATGAACGTATAATTTTACAATAAAGTACAAGGAAAATTAATATTTAAAACGTAAATGTAATGTATACAATTATATGTATAAAATATTATGAACTTAATGACATTCAACGCAAAGTTAGTCACAGACAAGAACACGCAAAATATTATTACTTGACTACATAAAACCACTTTTATATTACATTTTATTCTGATCTTCATTTTGAATACTGAAAAATTTATATAATTACAAAGGCTTTTTTAATAAAATCTGTAATAATTTAAGACTATTATACTACTGGCTTTATGTTTGAAATTCAACAAGTATATTTAAATATCAATAAACAATTGCATTCACTTAGAAAATTTCGTGACAGTATAAGTTTTAAAAAGTATTCATTTTGAGTAACAAGAGAAATTACGTGATACAATTTTACAATCAGCTTTGGTCAACCCTATTCTTCATGAAAAAATAACTAAAGAATATAGAATTAAATTTGTTCATACAACTAGAAAAATGTATTCATATGACGGAAAAATGATGAGACCAATTTCCCTTTATTTTTTATACATATAAACATCATTCATTCACGATTAATGGAGTACTGAATTACTGTTTTAAATACCATTATTTAATATACATATTCAATATACATACAAATCAATTATTATAATTTATATTATTATAAAGTTTGATTATATTCTAGATGAGGATGCTTTCAACTAAGAGATTACGCAAAGTTTACTTTAAAAAGTATTGTTATTTTTAAAAGTAACAGAAAACGCACAGACAGAATTTCATAGAAAATCTAGTTCGATATATGCACAAAAAATTGAAACTTATGATACAGTAACGGTGATACTCAACAAAGCATCAGTTGATTACTCTTAATTTCGCAATCTGGGACTACTTTTCACCAAAAAGTTCCTACAATTACGTGTTATACAACCAAATGACTATGACGAGGATTCTCAATGCAATTTCAAAAGCAGAATTCCAAAATTTTAACCATAGATTACTGATGTCAGACAAATTTTTAATAAAATGCGGAATTTTCACACTCACGGCCAGTATTTAAGTTGATAGTTTCATTGTTGATGGTAGTATTATTAATATTATTTTTCAGACGTAGCCTTGATGGTAGTATTATTAATATTATTTTTCAGACATTCTAACAGGCCTTATATTTCGCAGGAAGAGCTCCAGACGGCAAAAAGGTGATAGTGTAGCGACTACCATAAAGACCTAGTAATACAGTAGATGTGACAAAATTACGTCATTTAATTGAGTTAACTTTGCTGTCTATCGGTAAATCAAAGGCGATGGACGCGACTTTAGTCAATGCTTGTTTGAGAAACAGGTTGGATTTATCGTTTTGATATAATCCGAGGAAATAAAGTTTTTATCACAGGCTGTGATGCCGCTTACCGCATAAAGCGAAGGAGACCGATAAAAGTGTAACACGACATGAATCAGTCGCTAATGAACATTTGCATATGTAGATCTTCTTTAGGGGATTTCCCGATAATTTTCTAAGACTTCCCCGGTAAAAATAGTTTAAAATATGGCTTCTTCCCAACTATCAGATTATTGCAAAATAAATGTCGTTTTTCTACACGTTTCCTTTTGTATACCGAAGAATCCTTAAACATGGAACCAAGAAGCTTGTGACTCATTGCTGAGAATCTGTCTATTCGAATGGACATTTCTCTAATTAAAAATTTGCTGTTCCATATAAGTCATAATCGTTCGAACTCTGCATTCCAAGTCGACACTCATTGTGCAACAATTTAATATTTTTTAAATAAATGATATGAATAATTTCTATGAACAGAAATGAGATGTAACATAATTTAAAAATATCCAGGAGCAATATAAACAGTAAAAAAAATACAAGTAGGTATACATATATAGAATGTTTATGAGAAAATTTATTAGAACTGTCAATTTGAAACTCTACACACTTTTTGTACACCTCTCGTCATGTTAGAAGAGTTTTTCTGAATTTCACGTGATTTTATGCTAGGTCACTTATACAGCACATAGACTCATTAAATACGAAGCCTACAGGTAACAGATAAATAGCCTATTATACGTGTAGAACATTGTGAACGGATCTTTTACAAAAAGATGACTTTACAAAATTATGAGAATTATTTTCCTTTAAAAAATGATTTAATCAGAAAAGAGTGTTAGGGAACACCAGAGTTACCGCTGTAATATTCGGAAAATCTCGCGGTAAACTATTTATAGCACTGTTACTTCCACGGATTTCAACAGATTACAAAAAAAAATACACAAGAAATATACAGAAAGAATTCATTGTTGACGGTTCTATATACGAATACCCAATTAACTTGTTTTTATTGATAATATGAGGTAGCTACAAAGGTCCGATCCTTTTGAAGATAGACATAGAAGTTAGATTTTACACAGCGACTTACGTATATTCAATGTTTTACCTTTTGAGAAATATCTTTTGAAAAAGTAACAGACAAACTTTGTACAGCAGCTTAATAATTGGCTAACAATAAATTGAAATATATAAACATTTAGATAATTATAGCAAAAGATTCGTCTTAATAAATCTGTAAACGAATTGCATAGTGAAATGTAAACAAAAAAAATGTCGGAGCAACTCATTCTCAATACACGAGATAAAGTTAATTTCACATAAGTGTAGATCATTGTGCACTATTTGAAGCCGTATCAATTGAGAAGCCCTATCAAAGAAAAGGCCTTTTTTCCTCTTGCGATAAAAATTTGTGCATCGAACAATCAACGTATATCGACGCCAATGCATGCTTCTGTGAGGAACATTTTTCAAACTGTTACGTAACCGATCCCAAAAATCAAGTGAACAAATTGAATACGCTTATACTATCTTCTGTTTTTCACAGATTCAACAAGACACCGTTGAGAAGTACTTAAAATTATGGATGATGAGGTAATTGCTAACAATCAGAATAACAAAAGATCACCAATGACTCTGAACGTGAGCGGGTTGTGGGACGTTGTTCCACGTCTAGACCATTATAGGTATGTATGAAAATTAGTTTTTTATGTTATGTCTGAAAACTTTCCATGGTTTATATATTTTGTTCATGAAACACCTAATTCTTATTAAAAAGCTATTAAATGTAAGCTCTAATTAGTAATAAACATTCAATTAATAAATTATTATTGAAATATCATTACATTATTGATTCAATATCATGGATAATAGTATGAACAACATCATAGTAATCATAAAGTTAACATTATTATCATTTTAATTACTAATAATTATTATTTTGCGTATGTTTACGAACGTTTTGTTTTAATATACTCAGCTGTAATTACTACGTTTTCTTGTTATTGTAATTTTTCTTCCGAACAATATACCTGATATGTAACTTCTGATATTGTGGCCAATTCTGTTGAAATCGATTTTCTAACGTAGCAGTTTTCATAACGCACCGAAAAATATTCGCATTTTTGCAACAAAATGAAAATATGTGACTGTTCTCTAATAGTGGGAAAAACACACCTTTAATCTTCCAGATTAAGCCTGCAACAAATAGTTTCTGTGACAAAATTTTTGAGGTGCCATAAAAGCTTTGACGAAGTCTTAATTTTTCGTTTTTCTTCAATATTTAAAAAATTTGTTAACCTGTTTATAGTTGCAAGATTAAAAATGATGTCTCATTTTAAATTGGAGTTAATATAAGGCAGAGAATTAACATTATTTTAAAGAATATGTAAAATAATGGTGTTCACAATATACAGGGTGACAATGAAATACCCGTAATAGTTTCGAAGACGATAACTCTATGAAAACTCATCGAATTAAAACAATTTCTATTTTATTTTAAAGAATACAAAACGCTAAATAAAATTTTACAATAAGTATTGAAAATGTCCCCCTTTAGCCTTCACACAAGCTCTGAGACGCTTCTTGAAATTATTTGCGATGGTCGCACACTCTTCAGTAGTAATTTGATTCCAGGCTCTTTCTAAAGCAGACGTTAACTGTTCTACGGTGGTGTATTTTTTAGAGGAGATTTTTCTCTCCAAAATTGACCAAACTGAATAATCCATTGCGTTGAGATCGGGTGAATTTGATGGCCATATCGTTCCATCCCACACCTCCGAAAACAGCTCTTTGCACATTCTCATTGTCGATTAGGCCGAATGCGCCGAAGCCCAGTCTTGTTGTAAAATCCACTTATTCTTTCCGTGCCCACGGGTAGAGTACATCTCTAAGGATGCGTTGTTGATAGGTGATGGCGTTGATTTGTAAGCCTTTGTCGACAAAAACCAACGGCGTTTTGCCTGTTGCGCAAATGCCGGCCCAAACCAAGAAGTCAGAAAATGGCGACGTTACACAGAAACTCGCCTTGCTGACTTATTTGACCCCTTTGGCAACAATTGTCTATCGTTCTAACGGTTATGACATCGCTCAATTGTAAACATTTTTTCATCCGTAAAAAGCACAGAACGGGAACGACCACACGCGACCAGCTGAAGCAACTTCCTCGCTTTCTTCCTTCGCTGCTTTGTCATTTCTTTCGTCAGATAATGACACCGAACCAACTTATAAGAATGGCATTTTAGGCTGTTTTTGACCATCAATCGAAATGATTCGCGGTTAATGCCAATGGTTTTAGCCATTTGTCGCATTGATTGGAGTGAAGTGCGATAAATTCGGCAACGTATTTTGTTTGTTTGTTTTCGTACCCTTCCTTGCCTATCTTCAAATCCACCAGTCTCCTTGTATCGTTTAATAACGTCGTACAAGTTTCTAAGTGGCATTTTGAGCAGTTTCGATATAGCTTTTGCTTTATGTCCCTTTTTGTACAAATTTATAGCCGAAATACGAACTTCTTTCACCATTTTTGAATCGTACAAGTTCATAGAGGGCAGCACTAGAATATACAGAATTTCCCGCGGAATTGACATATAGCATTCATTGTAAACGCAAAATAATAAAAACAGGACAAAAACCTGAGCAAAAAAGTTGCGGGTATTTTTTTGTCACCCTGTACATGGTAAAAATAAAAATACCTTTCGTAATGATAGTTTCGATTAGTTTTCTCGAAAATACTTTCCGTTTACAATTATTGTTAGATAGTGAGAAAAATTATCTGGTGAAAACAAAAAGTGAATTATTATAAATTACTACATCAACAAAAATAATGACTTTTAGTGACTTGCAGGACTATTAGATGTCATGAGTAATAGTTACCTATTCTATCTATCTATATTTAATCACTTTTTAAATGTGTTTTTCATTTGCTTTTGCATTGATCTCCTTGTTTCCATCTCAGATTATACGATATCGTACGATGTCGCATTGTATTGTATAGGTATACTTGTACAAACCAACTTTTACGAGGTTTCTCGATTTACTTTAACCTACAGGGTGTTCATAAAAATGTAGAACACTTTTACAGGGTGGAGAGCTCTACATGCAAAACTAAAACGAAAGTCCAGAACACCGAAATTACGTTCGAGAAATTAAGTTTCGTTCAATTAATTGTATTTCATGCATTAGGTTAAGTAGTTCATGATTGTGTATCAGCTGGAAATCCACTGTTCAAGTAGTATAATCCATCATGCCAGACGTATTTCACGCGTATTTTGCCGGTATCCTCAATAATAAATAATACTAAATATAGATTCAATCTTAATCAGCAGCCATATTGTGAGAAATAAATGTTTGAAAAATCGACTATGATAAGAACTAGATTTCTTCATCTACTTTAAGAATCTACCGTTATTTTTCATTTCAGATAAAGAAAATTCTACTAAAGCAGATGCGATTCATAAATTTATAAACAAACAGTTACATTACCTTGAGACACAGTTTGATATGAAACTTCTGTTCAACAGTGTTCTTGAATTGTACCAGTTAGTTAACAAAATTTTTAATTTCATAATCAGAAAGAAATTTACAGTATTCCATTTTGAAACAGTATAAGTAATCCCTAAATATCTAATCTAATGACTCTTTTTCTCTCTCTCGAATTCAGGTTACATTGCGCCCTCTAAAAAGAAAACGTTTTATACTGTATAGAATAATAGATAGCAGAATCATTACTAACACTAAGTTCAAAGTCAGACTTTAATTACTTACGTTACATCTTGACGACAAACCGTGTCCAATTTACTTGTAGCGGGCAATTAAGAGCAGAAAAGTTGAAAGCTGCGCAACAACTTGTTGGCTGCTCCAATATTTTAAGAGACCACCACGCTGTCATAAAGAATTATGCTTTCGAGATTAGCAGACTTGTCCTCCCCATTCATCAGTTTATCCTAATTTAATTAACCGTATTCCCCCGCTGATACCATTACATCAGGTAACAAGAACGTCTCTGTTTATTCTACACGAAGGAAATCTTATAAAGGTAAGATTGCCACATCGTCATCGACATTCGTCACACCACCCTCATTGGTAATATCATCGAATACATTAAAAAGTCGATAATATTCGTAAACAACTGCTCAACGAAATTACTAGGCTGTGGATTGTATGCTTTCATAACAGGTATGAACGTCTAAAACAGAGTGAAATAAGTGTTACCATAAACGTTAGTTAACTTTTCCTCTTATACAAGCTGAGGACAAAGTAAAAGACAGAAGTTACATGGTATCAAGAGGAGCATATGTCAGAGGAACTATTTTTTCTGCATTGTTTATACATAAAGTTTTGAAGGTCACCTTGATTTTTTAAAGTGGAATACTCTATATTTCTTTACGAAAATTCAATGAGCATCGAACACTAAGTAACGAGTAACTATTAGACCATAACTGGTCTAATGACAGTATTTTATGAGATTGTATACCATGAAACTGTCGGCCGATTTCCCGTGGTAACGTTAGCCACGCGCTGCAATTGGTAGCCAACAGACTCGCGCTCTGATCGGTCGGGGTTTTTTGTTAATATCTGGTTAACAAAGCCTCGGATAACATTTTTGCTAAGGAAAAACTCGTTCCAAATCGCCTCACGAGTGTCTCATTTCAGAGACCAGCAACATTTTTGTTACACCCTGTATACAGTGTTCCATTACGAAAATGTACGTGCACCTAACCTTCAAAACTGTACGTGTACCTAAACAATGTGAAAAAAGAATAATTATTCTAATACATGTCTTCCTCAAAATCATACAAACCTTATTTGCAAAGATTTTTTCGTACAGCAAGTTAATTATAAGTAATTTGAAATCGTACAGTTAGGTGTCTCATCTTGTATTTAACTAAAAGAAACTTTCAGTGAAGGAAAGAATTTTTCATGAGTTATCTGTTTTCATAAAATCTGCTTTCAATGATACCTATTAATTTGCATAAACATCTGCAATCTACTAATTACAGACAATGAGGTTCGTGTTTCTCCAAGAATAATCATTTTTTCTGAATGAAGTCGATTGATAAATGTTTGCCTTATAGTTAGTGAGTGTCTGCTAACTGTAAGAAGCATAACCGGATAAAATTTTTATATTGACAATACAATTTTAGAGAGTGAATAAGCTTCTCACTTGTTTGTCGAAACAAAAATTTTATTATAAAATAATATTTCATTCCACAATTAATTAAATGATGTATGTAACGTCAATCCAGAAAGCATCGCAAATAATACATCACTTGTTTTGTCTCCATAATTTTCAATTAATAAAAATATAGAATATTTAGATTTATTTTAATATGCGTCACGCACACTGGATTTGAACATTGATATATTCAGTTGATTAAGGGAAAATATTGATGCTATTTTCACGCAGTATCGTTTTTCGTAAGATTTTTGAGTGAGACTTAAAGTGTCGGTTTAGAAAGTTAATTTTTCGATAATGTGTAGATAAAACTTTTATAGACTTGGATTTTATACACTTATAGGGTATACTTACGCATAATACGTTGTGAAATAAATGTCTAATAAAATTTCATAAAATTCTCAGATTACGTTGGATTCGTTACAATCCTTCATAAAGAGGATAATATTTCGTTTCAAGTAAATTTTGAAAATTTTGTCTATAGATATACAAATTTGCATAAGCATTCGCAATCTAATTATAATTGTAGAGTAAAATGTAGATATGTATACTACAAGAATTAGTAAGTAGTAGCAACAGTAGTTTCAAAAACATTTGCAGAACAACATACAATAAAACATTTCAAATTATTTAATCTTGGTAAGCATTAATATATGAAAATTTCCAATTAAATAAGAACATTCGCAATATAACATCTGATAAAATTATATTAAATGAATGACTTCCTTATAATAAATTTCAAAATATTGAAAAATAATATATTCAACTAATCCATATTCGTTAAGGTTAAACATCTTTTTCCGAAAAATAAAGCATTCTCCGAAATAAAAAAACATTTGTAAAATAACATTCAGTAAAATTTTATTTAATAAACCATTTAATTATACTTAACCGTGAAATATTAATAAAATGTATATTTAACTAATTTAGAATCATTTGGATACATATCCTTTGCTTTAGAAGAAAAAAGAAACCAGACTCATTTGCAAGTGATTAACCTCTTTTTTAATAATGTATTGGGTTGGTGGGAAAGTAATTTCGTTTTTGACACATGTAAAATTGACAGCGTTTTTCACTAATCTGTTTGACAGAATTTTCCATGAAGGAAATCAAATTATTGGTTATATAAATTGTTAGTATTTAAAAATTATTACTTTCTTTTTAATGTCGCAAAATGAAAAAACTTTCTCACCAACCCAATAGAATAAAGTGAAAGATTCCAGGGGAATATCACAAAGGGAGACAGAGTTTTTATAGCGCCAAAGAAGCGTATATTTTCACGATGTCAAAGTGTTAACCACGTGGGAAAAATATGGGTCGCTTATTCTGCTCGCCAATATGAAAATTAAATATGCGAAAGAGCGATTAAATTTGCAAATATTATAACATCGTGCGTAGTTGTGTAGCGACTCATATTATGTTGTCATGCATGCTATTCTCCAGTCACAAGTCATATTAAATTGCGCAATCATTGTTTCCCCAAAGGACCGCTAATTGTAAATTTAATTAACATATATCCCAGCTTGCTAAACGTAATTTCGTGCCTTATACTTTCACAAAATGTATTCTTTTCGATTTAAGTAGGTTGAATCTTTCTTCGTTAAAATATTAATATTATTTCTTCTAATTCATCCTCTTCACCACTTATAATAGTCCTTACATACACTCAAATTCGCGCGTCCAAATTGCGATGTGAGTTCGTAAAATTTCGTACCCTTGATATTATTTCATTGTGTCATTCTGTACGTTCATGCCGTAATTTGTTTATTTATTAATCCGGCACGTATGAAATATACGGTGCGCTTTTTGCGTGATACTATTTGCTTTGATTGTAAAACTACATAAAGATTACTTAGGGTACACTAAAAGATGAATTAAGATGAAAATCGGTTAAGTACATTTACATTAAAAAATTTAAAGACAAATGTGCAATTAAACTGTGCCAAAATAAGAATCTGCTACATGTTTAGTGTGAAAACTAATTACATAGATCTACCTGTATACATATACCTATATATTAGTGTTTTACGTGTAAAGAATCTAAGAAAAAGAGTTAAAGTTAAAGAAGTGTTCAAAATTCTTTCAAGAACGAATTGGTAGCGTAACTAAGAATTAAATTGTAGGTTGCATGACGTAGTTATCGACCGCTACGCGATAACTTGATTGCTTTATTTTGACAGTCAACCCATAAAGCCATTTTATGTACTTTCTACTGCAACAAGAAATCCTACTAAATAAGAAATCAACGTACATAGTATATGTACATTCTCGTCGCCTCGATATATTAGATGAGTGGAACAGTTTTTATGAACTTTGCTTTAAAAGAGTGGGCTAATAATAATTTTTATTACAATTGAGTAATAATTTAGTGAAATACATAATAATTCTTTTATAGCATGCATTTTCATTAGAAAATTTTATTCTAACAAACAAATCTTTGGAATACTATTATTTTTTAAATTTATATAATTAAATTGTATTAATAAGTGTATAGTTTACCACAGAATGGAATTAACGTAACAACTTCACCAAACAGATCACAAATGTTTTTAAAGGTGTTGGTAATGTTTATTCCTATATTTTCAAATTTATTGTCTGAAGTTCATTTTCTATTGTATTTTAAACAATAAAGAACACTCGATCGCGTCAATTTTGATTCTAAACAAGAATTTACCGTGTCCTGTACAACTGTTTATTGTTTCTACGACGCATTAATGTGTCAGCTTTCAGACTGTGTACATATTTTATTAGTTGGGAGTGGCCGAATAATATCTAATGGCTCACTATGATGCAACGGTTACTATGAATAAGAGAATATTAGGTTTGGCATTAAACGACTACAAAGTTAATCCAACTAACTCGTAACTACCGGTCAAAGAATAAAGTCATGTGACAAAAATACCTTTTAAGGTATTGAAATTCAGATATCGATTTTCTTAAAACTGGGGAGACTAAACGGGTGATGGTTGTAGCCTCGTTCAATGAAGCGTGACGTAGTGGAGCTTTCTCCTTCGACAAGGACGATCCAACTCATAACAAGAACCTTGGGGGCGAGACAGTATATTAGGTTTGCGCAGCAGTAAATACCAGCTGCGAAGAAAATTAGAAAAAGTATCAATTTCTAAATCTTTCCTCCTTGCGAGGTTACCGTAAAAAGGACGAATAAAAATCGTTCGCGTAAAAGTTATTTTTCACGTGTCACTGCGTAAATAAAAAAAGTATTACGTTAAAATCTAAATGTGTCCTTACTCTTAGGTTGTTGTACAGTAAATGTCGTTATTCGACGCGCTTCATTTTCGCCATTTTAGAATCGTTAAACATAAAATCCAGAAGGTTATAACTTGTTGACAAAATACACAAATATTCGGTTTGAGATATATTATAATCATTAAACTCTGCAGTTCAAAAACGACATTTATTACGCAACAACCTAATAAAAGGTATAATCATGCTTTTCATCAGCACAGAACAGTAATATTATATCTGTCAACTAGAATCGTATGCAATTTTCAACAGTACACAAAATTGTTTCTTATTAAAACAATTTACAGAATTGTGTTAACTAAATGTACGAAAGTTTAAAATTTTAGTTACAAAATTAATACTAGTAATAAACAACAAATTTCAAATGAAGAAACAGAGGATTTTATTGATATACAATACTTAAACAATTTTTAATATATTTATTTCAGTTAGGCCCATTTCAGTATATTTTTCATGTGTGAATAGTAAAAGCGTTTAAAAACCGAAGTCTGCTTATTGTACTTAAAATATACATATAAATTTCTAACAATTGCAAACCAAGCAAAAAAATAGAATTAAAAACGTTCAAGTGTACAGAAAAATAATTTCTGTATTAGTTCACACCAAACGTGTGGTGCATTCACACTGTGTATTTGTGGATTCTTTATTGCGAATTCAAATGGTTCGAATATTACGATTTTATCGTTTTTACCTATTTATATACATTCGTAAATATATTTATAGTGTATGTATAGATATACATATATTTATATCTATTTATACCTATTTGTATCTTATTTATTTGCATTATTTTTATCTATTTTATCTATTACAGATCTAGTACTAATTGTTCAAGGAAACAACAAGTCAAGAACAAAACAAACCTTGAGAATTATTTTTACTGATTTCTTTAAAACATTCAGACCTATCCAATAAACATACACTCTCGTCCACAAGTCATATAACACAATCATCAATAAATGTAGAGTAAGAACAAATTGATCCTACGAAATTACACGAATATAGAGATTTTTCTTATATCTGTACATCGGTGACACAATGTAAACCATATTCACCATGTATCCTAAACAAATTTCAATTTTTCATTTATCAGTGTACTTATTTCATGTATAAATGAACATTCGAATTATGCAAGATAGTCTGACTATGTATTCATACTATATTTCTTGTCGAATTCCTTGACTTTAATCAGGTTATAACCTTCTTCATAAATTCCACCTCAATGTTTTACACGTGTTCTTGACTTCTAAGTCTGACTAATGCCACAACTTTTCACTTACTTTAATATGGGTTAACTGTGAAAAGCATTGTATCTATAATTGTGAGCTAATTATTTTTCTCTAATTTCTTTGCCAATTCTGAAAGGTGCCTAATGTATATTTAGGGTCACTATTTTACAGCAAAAAGAACAATTTAGTAAAATTGTTCCGTAACTTGTACCTCTGTTAAGTAATAATTTGTATTTTCTTCAGAGTAACCTAGTGTCCAGTGACTTACGGATTGTAGTGCAAATTAAACACTCAATTAATCTTTGCGTACTATTGAAGTAATTACTACGTACAGTACCGGGCAAGACTATAACATCATGAGCGTAATAATTCTTTGTGAAGATTAATTTCGTTAGCATTTTCTGTATTAATTAACAAAGTTCATTCTAATAAAGTTCATATCGTTTGTTAATTAATACAGAAAATGCTAAAGAAATTGATCTTTAAAGAACTATTACGGTGAAGTTATTATAACTTTGTCCAGTGCCTATATTTTAAAGTTAATCTTTTATTTATTAAACATATCAACATAACCTAACCTCTATCACCTTGCACAGAATTGAATCGAACCGTAATTTTAAATATTTGGGAAACGATTCTTATACGCCTTTTAAGACATTACCATAGCGTTTCTAAAAACTCTTTAAACGTTCTAAAAAAAAAACAGAGAACGTTACTTTTAAGCATTTGGAAAACATTCTGAGAATGTTGACACAGAGCGCCCTCAGGACGTTCCAATTTGTAAATAGCACCTTCCTATGTAGGACATTTAAAAATCTTAACGAGGACGTAGGGGGATATGTGGACCTTTTCGGAACATCCTCCGAATGTACCGAACGCCTGGAACGTACGTTCTCCGGACGTAAAAATTACGTTTTTGTGCTATTTGGGAAATGACCTTGTATCAGTCTAAAAAAGACATTTATGCAATTCCATTTAACAGCCAAATTTCTTGTCACTGGTTCATAAGAATTGTACTCTATTGACCATCAATATAAAAAGGACTTTGTTATTATAATATAAAAGGATAATATATAAAAAGGAATCATCCATATGTAGCTGAAACTAACTTTCACTCATTTTTTTAAATTGGACTTGTACCATCTTCAAAAATAACGAATCAAATGTATAAAATTCGTAGTCTACTTATCGTTTTACGTTTCTATACTTTCCATAACTTCCGTCAATATAAAACATCGGAACGTAATAAAAATACGTATGAAGAACGTTTGAATTTCAGGACCCTAATATAGAAGCTGGCCAAGCGGGAACGTCGCAACAAGGACACACAGGGATCAAGCTAGGATGGATCCAGGGTGTTCTCATACCATGCCTCCTGAACATATGGGGTGTAATGCTTTTCTTGCGGCTGTCGTGGGTGGTAGCGCAGGCCGGCGTATTGCAAAGTGTCATTATTATCGGAATATCGGCGGCAGTTTGCGTCATCACGACGCTTAGCCTCAGCGCAATTAGTACTAATGGGGAAGTAAAGGGAGGTGTGTTACGGGACCACCGTTTTCTCGTTCTTTTTCTCCGTCGAAGGTGTGGCAATGTGTACTTTAACCACACACCGAGAATTATTTTTTTCCAGAAACCTCGCGTCGCTTTCAGAAATGAAACGCACGAAATTCCGCGAAATTTTCATACAAGCCTAATTGTGAGTGGGAACGTACAAACTTTGTGTCTTGCTATGGAAAATTATAAATTTGTATGTCAGATATTATTTCACACTCTAATTGTAAAAGAACACTGTAAGAGTAGCAACTATGGAATATTCTTAAGAAAAAAGTATTCGTAATTATAGCATGAATGCTATATATATCGTATGAGGATCTACGAAATGTTAAATTGTACCACATGTAGTTGCCGATATTCGAATAGTAAGTTGAGAGGTTAGCCCATTTTGGAACCTACAAATGAAAGCTATTTTAGGCATTTTGTTTTACGAAAATGAAATGAATGGCAAATCCATTAAAATACATTATTTATTGTACATATCTTCAGATACGCGAAACAATTTCTCTTTTTTTTTTGGAACAAAATGCCGACGCTGGGTCTGATCCATGTTTGGCTGGTTTTAAATGAGTACCTAATCGGCGTGCAAAATAACTTAAAACCGGTTTGACCTAGAACCAAAAAGGAAAACAGTTTGATGTTCTACTTGAAATTTACTGAAGAAATACGTAGGGACTTTTAGAAATATGATTTTTTGTGCAAATAGTGAATATTTGAAGAAAAAAGTATGGTTTTTAACCGAAGAATTTTATACAAAAATGTCCATAGCGAAGACATTTTTTAACATATTGCAAAATTCTTAAGTACTTTTTTAGTAACTTTCATGTAAAACATAAAAATGTTTCACTTTTTGTTCTAGGTCAAATCGTTTTCAAATTATCTTGCACGGTGCTCACTTAAAAATAGCTATACTCAAGCGTCGCCATTTAGTTCTACAAAAAGAATATTCGCGTACTCAAAGATATGTATAGTAACTGTCTTTTAATAGATTTCCCATATACTTCATTATTTTTGCAAAAAAATTTCCAAAAAATGACTCGTATTTTTAGAATCTAAAGTGGGATAATTCCTTAAATACGATCTACATTGTTTGTTGGGCTAGTCAGAAGTTATAACGTTACCGTGCTTCTCTATATTTTTGTTTTTTATTATTGAATGCTTATTGTGATTGTTTAACTATTCTACATAAGTAAATAATATCGTACCATGGAAATACATTCGAATACTTTTCTAATATGAATCTAAGTCAGGTCGTGGCAAAGTTAGCTAAATTAAATTACGAAGTCATGCGCCAGTCACGACATTCACAAGATGTTACCTCAACAAATGATCAGTTTTTTTGTTATCGAGAACTTCTAACAAAGAAAACATTCCCTAATCGGGAATCGTAGTTACAGGGTTTGAAGAATTCATTCAATCTGAAAATATCAATTTTTCTAAAAATTAAATCTGTCAGTTAATTTCTTGTTTGAAGAAGGCTATTTATCAACACGGTGCATATTTCAATTGAATAAAAATGATTTTTTCCAAAACAAAGTGTGTCCGTTTCGATCTATAATGTAGAAACGGCAATTTCATATGGTAAAAAATAATATTTAAAAATATTTCAAATTGCACTTTAAGAATTAATATCGTTCTTAAAATTTCATATATTTTGAAAATTACATACCTTTCTTGCCGCCAGTATTTAGAAGGAAATCACAATTTCGGTTGTAAAATTTTCGCGGACGTGTGCAAGCGAACACGAAAACTTGTCTTTTACTGTAAAAAATTATTATGTCAAATGTTGATTATTATTTCAGAATCTCATTCTAAAACTTTTAAGTAAATGTTGAAACATTTACAATTTCGTGTAGCTGAATTGTCAGTTATTTAATAAATCATTAACTTTGAGGACCTGGAGAATATTTTCAGAACTTTTAAAAGGAACTTCAGAAACTTATGGACGTTATCGTTGTCTGTAGAAAAGGAAACAGAATTCTCGTTGTAAAATTATCATAAATGTACAACGCGGATCAACAACACTTTGTTACTTATTTCAGTTTATTTGTAACTGCAACTAACTATACAATTTCCGATCAAATGTTAGTAAATGCTGCCTGTTTAATTAATCCAACCTTGAAGGTCTGAAAATAATTTCTAAAAACTTTAAGCCATGATTCAGAAATTTAAATTGGTGTTAGAATGTCTATTATACCAAACCTACATACATTTCTTATCAAATTGGAGACACTAGTCCCCTTCTTATGTAAAAGTTTCAACTTTCACCCAGTATATTTATTATTGATGTTTATCTTAGTTAGTTTAATAAATCTCGATATTTTTGAATGTATTTATGAATATCACATTGCCGTACTTTCATCTGTGTTACTGTTCAAATTTTTGCAAAAAATTCAACGATGTATAACTCGTAACAAACTATAGGTGGTATATACTTCATCATATCGCGAACATTGGGACCCGAATTCGGTGCCTCCGTTGGAATTGTTTTTGCATTCGCCAATGCGGTCTCCGCCTCGATGAATACCATTGGCTTCTGCGATTCTCTGAACGATTTGCTACGAGAACATAACATGAAGATCATAGACAATGGGGTAAACGATGTCCGAATAGTGGGAGTACTCGCACTGATCGTTATGATTATGATCTGTGCAATCGGAATGGAGTGGGAATCAAAGGTATTATTTACTTTTATATATTTCGTAGTGATGTAACAAACAAACAAAAATAAATTACTAGACAAAAAAATGTGTTATAAACAGGCCTCGAATGTTTATATTAATTCACATTTTCATCAACTAGGAATTAAACAGAAGTGTCCTTTGTAAAGTTTTGATTAAGTTCAGAATAAACTAAAACTTTTATTATACTTTATCACAGTTTTTATAGTATTCTTTATACCTCTGTATAATATTTATACATATACTTACATATATTTCAACTTCAAGGGCTGTTTTATCTCCATCAAATATTTTCGAATTGTCGAAACAGGCACAAGTAATTATTAATTAGGTACAGAACTAGTTACCTAAACGATATCACTTGTGTGTTTCTTTTATTCAATCTTGTTTGCAATTATTTTTGCTCAATTTATGTGATTTTAAGATTGCATTTGAATTTTTTCTTTTGATGTAGGTGTGTACAAAATTAATTTCATTTTAGGCACAAAATTTCCTCATAGCCATCATTGTTGCAGCCATTATTGACTTTCTGATCGGTACGATTATGGGACCATCCGATATAAGCCAACAAGCGCAAGGATTCCTGGGTTTCTCTAGTAAGTTAAACTTAATTTTCGTATTTACAATATAATAATTAAAAAGTTCCTCAGCGGTCGTAGCAATTACTAAATTGTATAATAAAGGATATGTATTTTAACGAATAGATTTTAATGTCTGGCTGAAGCACCAGTTTTTCACTAACAATAGATAAATAATTTATTATTTATATCACACACCTTTCAATCAGTGTTTGATTTTTAATTGTTTAGAAACACAGCTTAGGGAATAGATTTTTTTTTAAAATCAATTTTAAAAGTTATTTTTCAGGAAAGAAACTTAGAAGACCGAAAATGTTGATTTAAAAGTACTTAAAATATCTTTGTAATTACAGTACATTAAGTTTTTGGTTAGTAAATGGCCGTTTGAACATGTTAAAGTCACCGTTGCCCTTACTATCACTCCAAGATATATAGAAATTTTTCAATTCATTATGTAAATTGATGAAAATTATAGTTTATAGAATTAGAATGGATCGCAGTGAACAGCGAAGTCTGTCCAATTATAACACTGCAAACAAGAACGGTGATCGGCTACTTATTTCTCATCAACAAAATATTTAAAAGCAATTCGGTAGGATAAAAAGTCAAAAAAATAAGAATCATAATGTACTTAATATACATAAATGATAATATACATAAGAAATAACTGCTTTTCGAAAATATACAAATTGGTAAAGTAACTAATCTCTTTACTTTTACATTGCAATAAAATTTGCATCAGAAATTGCACCGTTACGACATTTTGATTATTTTTCCAAACGTCCTTAAACCAGTCATTTTGGCGGCTTTACAATGTGTGTTTTAATTCGACGCATTCTATATAAATCTATCAATCGATCGACTGCATGACATTAATTTATCAATAATGTGACACAATAAAAAATTATTCTTTTAGGTCAGTAAATTCTGGAATAAATAAAGAAACAGACTTCAAAGTGTTATATTACTAGTGTTAGCACATTTCGTATCGAATACTGCCACGAAGTAACAGGTATTACTACCTATTCGCGTCCAAAAATGTATTAACACTAGTAACGTAACACTTTGAAGTCTGCTTCTTTATTTACTCCAGAATTTATGGACCCAGAATATAGTTTTGTACTGTGCACACGATTGATAAATTAATGTCATGTAATCGATTGATAGATTTAGATAAACGGTATCAACATCCAAAAACATTGGTCCATAATTTCCCAGAAAATAAGGAACAAGGTCAATGTCCCTATTTCTAATCATGTAAGAGTTCTGCTATCGCAGAAATTGCATTGTATTATTTATTTATGCAACAATCGACAAAAAAAAGTTATTAGATGTAAAATTTGAGCCTCCCTTTATAATTAAATTTAAATGAAGGTATTTTGAAAAACATTTAAACTTAATAATAGTTGATTTAATATGAAGTATGAAAAAATATATATCTATATACGTACTGAGCAGAAATCGGGTCGTGATTAGAAATAGGGACATTAACCTTAGATATATTCTGGAATTCCATTTATTCTAAACTGTTTCTTATATCCTTAGCCGATGTGTTCATGAACAACATGGGACCAGATTACCGGTTCTCCGAAAACAGTAACCAAACCTTCTTCTCCGTATTCGCCATTTTCTTCCCGTCGGTGACCGGGATTCAAGCGGGAGCAAACATTTCCGGCGACTTGAAGGATCCAGCCAGCAGTATACCGATCGGAACCCTTCTCGCGCTCCTAATTTCAATGCTGAGTTACCTGACTTTCGTTCTGTTTGCCGGTGGAGCGACTTTGAGAGATGCCAGCGGTCTCGTTAGCACCAATAATACCATTGTAAATTGCATTCCGCAAGTGAATTGCAACTTTGGATTGCACAATAGTTATTCGGTAGGTATGGCGTTAAGTAATTAACCAATTACTGTGAAACCGATTAATGTTTGACACGTCAAAAATAATACGGAACACTGTGCATACACAACTCCGTGGGTTTTGTTACTTGTGTCTTTAGTTAGGTTTATTATTAGTTAATACTGTGCTTTTTGCAAATGTGTATGAAGGTAATTTTTGTTTGGCTTCGTTTAAGTTTCTTAGTGGGTTTACAAACATACAGACTCCGTAATTTTACAACCTGCCATGAAACAAAATGATTTAGAACGTTGAACTCGTCTCAGCAAACGCTGTCATATTACGAGTGAAGAAACATAACGTTCCATGTAAAAAAATAACTGGACCTTGAAATCTCCCTCATTATTCTACTTACAACAAAATTATTTATATCACATTATGGCCCCCGTCGTACCCCTAGACATAGAAATATAGACACTTTAAAAAGAGACGGGTTACTTTCTGAGGGCTTGCTATTGCTTTCTAATATAGCTGAGTCAACCATTCAAAACGCAGATCCCCAGAATCTCACCCCCCACTACTTAAATTTAAAAAGAGATGCCAACTCCTCCGAAAGTTATCTAGCTCTTTCTAAATTTGAGACACCTGTTTCAGGGAGATGCGCAGTCTATACATATTTCTATGTCTGTGGTTGTACCAAACAACTTTTCTCAGAACATCCTTTTGATACCTTCAGTTCCTTGCAAGATATTCTAGTGGGTCCAGTTCAAACAGCCACTTTATATATTTTGAAGTTTTTTAACAGAAAAGCAAATAATATACTAATAAATAATGTTTAATAGCTTATAGACTTGATTAATAATTAAGTAAACTCACTAATCAAAATTGCTGTTTAAATTACCAAATAGAATAATTATACTTACAGTCCGTTAAATAAGAATGAAACATTACCAGCAGAATAAAAGTAAATAACAGATATCAAATATTGAAAAACATGATTTTTTTATTTCATTTTTTGTGATGTTCATAAATTGACCATTTGCACTATCTTCGATAATTGTTAACATATTCTATGAAATTAAAATAACGTTAGGTATATGCAAAAGTGATGCCATCGCCGTTAAAAGTCTTCCTTAATATTGCATAATTGCTACAGTATCTTTTACTCGAAATAGTCTCTCTCATTTTTTATAACTCTTTGTTACTTTTCTAATCAAAATTAAATCCCCATCGAGAAAATAAAGAGAATCACAACACCAGCTTAAATTTGACGATCATTAATTTTAGACACACCCAATACATTATTTAATAGTATTTTCAATATCATTCTAAAATTTGTGTAAAAAAATATAAACATAAATATTTCAATACTCTTTAACTTTTCTTTTTACATAAATCCTTTTGTCATGCAATTTACTTCAAAATGTAAAGTGAACATAATAATACGTAACCCTGAATTTTTTATGTACATAAAAATGTTGTGTTCAAATAAGTTAACTTAAATTTTCTTATTACCGTAAGGTCATGCAACTTATGTCAGTTTGGGGTCCATTCATCTACGCCGGATGTTTCGCTGCAACTCTTTCAACAGCTCTGACGAACTTACTATCGGTCCCGCGATTGATACAGGCATTAGGACAAGATCGAATTTATCCCGGCCTAATATACTTCAGCAAAGGATACGGAAAGCACGGTGAACCTTACCGTGGATACGTTCTTACCTTCTTTGTCGCAGCATTGTTCCTCTTGATAGGTACGAAAATTTTCTGAAATTTTTATGACATAAATTCAATGAATGCGAAAAATAAACATTCATACATTCAATATAAATAGTAGATAAAGGTTATTTGAATATTATTGTGTTGCATTATTTTGTATTTCCACTGAGCAAGTATTAAGTTATTTATCATTTAAACAATAAGTTTCAATTTTGAAGAAATTTTAGAGATTTTAAGTAAGTATCATCACATACTTCGAATTATAAATGCATGTAATGATTTTGAGATTTGAAATCAACCTTCAAGTTAGAGTAAAATTCATAGGCAATTGCAGTGCTATGAAAACTATTTCTAAATAATGTGATACAAAAATATGTTTACAAACTCGTTGTACTATTTTCAACTCTTCATGACCTCCCTGGGTCTTTTATGGTACAAACAAAATTTCGTGCTCGAATATCTTCGAAACGAAGAGATTGTTATGAAAGAAAACTTTTAATATTCAACTTTAAAAACTATTGGATAATGTAATAGAGGCCCTGAGTAGTGTCCTGGAATTTTTTCAGATTTTTTGGTAGTCCAAAATATATAAAAGACCCAAGGGGGTGACGTAAGTGATAAAAATAACTGGGGTCACAGAGGGTTAGAATACATTTTCTAATAAGTATGCTTATAAAACTTTTTAAATTTTATGTATACCATTATCTCCTTCCAAAGTTTTATGAACCCCATTACTTGAACTTCGTAAATCTAAAGTTCTAATAGAGTCTTAAATGATCTTCAAAGTCCAACTCAGTAGATGTTATTTTATAGTCTCTTTTATTGTTAATAGACCACTTAAATTGTTTTAATGTCTAATTTTAATGACTAATTATAAGTATATTCTGTCATTACAATATAATTTTCCTATTCAATTTTACTGTTTTCAGCAAATTTGAACGCGGTCGCGCCTTTGATCTCAAACTTCTACCTAGCATCATATGCCTTGATAAATTTCTGCACCTTTCACGCAGCGTTAATTCGACCGATCGGATGGCGTCCTACCTTTAGGGTAAAAACATAATTAAGAACATTACATAAGTTGCTTCATAATTGAAGTGATTAAAGAGAGAAAACGAAGGGGAAAATCCTATAGATAGATTGTCAAAAACAGATTCTTACCGAGACAAAAGTGTTAATCTTATACATATGTTCAAAATGTTCATCGTTTTCTTGTACGCAAATCAAGTCAATTCGGTGCAATAGCAGTTGATGAACGTTTCTGAACATATTTGCATATTAACAAATATTTTTTACAACTTTCTAAGTGACGATACAATAGACAGTGGCTGCTATGAATAACGGAACATGTGGTAGCCACGCCACAGATAAGACGTATAATAAACCCCAGAAGTAAAAAGGATCATACATACTGAAATCGGTACAAAAAGATCCGATTTCATAGCAAAAACATCAGTTTGATTAAAACTACAAAAAATGTTAACACCTCCCTGAAATAATCGTTTTATTACCGACACTTTATACGAATTTTATTAAACAAAGTAAGATTAAATAGACTTTATACACGTTTTTCATTGTAATACAAGTGTTACATTCATGTTATATTCATTATATAATTATTATACTGAATGTGAAACTTAGACTTCAAAGATGACTCTTTGTTTCATTAACTATTCACATTTGACATGTTTATCGGACATTTTTACCATTCTGTCTTCTCAATCACTTTCTTTATGGAAATCGTGAATAACAAGACATTTTGTGTGTCGATTAATTAATGAAAATATAAGAAGTAATATAATTTATTACATGTTACAGTATTACAACACCTGGTTGTCCTTATTCGGCTTTATCACCTGCGTTTCCATAATGTTCTTAATTGACTGGGTGACATCACTTGTCACCTTCGTCATTATTTTCGCGCTGTATTTGATAGTTGTTTACCGGAAACCAGATGTAAATTGGGGCAGCAGTACACAGGCACAAACTTACAAGACTGCTCTTTCTATCGTATACAGGTAAGGATATTTCATACGTTCGTTTAAAATATAGTTCAGAAATATATTAATTAAGCCTTAAATGCACGATTTTTCCAAATATAATAAAACATTGAGAAATGGCTGATTTATGAGCCATAAAACCATAGAAAAATAATGAAAAATTTCATCTTATTTTTTGTATTGTTTCATTTAGAAAAAGCGATTGCTACAAAATGGATACATTATGTATGGAACATGTAAACAATTCGCAAACTAATCATCGTGAAAATTCCTGAAACAGTTATTATTTCTGTTCAGATATAGTGCAACTCCATCCTTTTCGTATTTTGCAATGTCCAATTTGGTCTTGCTTTTTACCTCGCAAGAGTCTATTTGTGGACAAATGTTCCTTCTAATCACATATGCCAATACGTTATACCTTGGTAGTATACATATAGTATATATGTATACATTCGAATACTCCATACAGTAAGTGTTTATGTGTTTACTACATTAGGAAATATAGGTATGTTGCCAAATAGCAACACTGTGCATTTAAGGGTTAAATATTTAACAAATAATGTTATACAAGAGAACTTTAATAATTCCTATTACTTTGGTATAAAAAAATAATGAATACTCTAAGAAGTAATCATTAACTTTATTACTAGTAGTCTACAGAACGTTTCGCAGTTAATCGATGAAACTTTGCAAGTATGTTCTATATCTCGGAATAAAACCGAATATAACGTAAATATAAGACCAGAGAAGCTTTATTGAAAAGTTGTAAAAGCACAAATTTTGAAAATTTTAATGATTTTATCACGTCGCAACATAGCTTCTTGGTGATTATAAAGATTTATTATATTTTTTTATTACTTGATATTTATTATTATGCGCTTAGGGTAAAACAAGCTGATCTGCAAAGAACAAGCACGGAAGCTTCCCTCTCCATTTTTGTCTAGCTTGAATATGGTACACCTATAGTTTGGAAACTATAAATTAGTCATAAGAGAAACGCCTCCGTGTTCGATGCAATTTTAGCCAATGGAGAAGAATTTTCCAACTTTGCCAATTTTCGTGCTATCACGTCCAGTTCAAATCATCAATTGAAACTCAGAATTCATACAATCAACTTGTGCAAATAGATTCATGTCACTTTCATTACTCCTGTTAGTGTTGGGTGAAAGTTATTCCGAGTACCGAATAATAAGATAACGAATAAATCAATATTATTCATAATTCGAAATTTCCGAATAATGAATGAAGGCAAATAAATTTCTTAATTTCTTCAATGAATTTTTACGTAAATAGGATTTAATATCGCTCTTTCCTCAAACATAGGTATCGTCAGAAAGCTTGTAGGCACAAGGTAGGTTAACCATAGTAGCGTAGAAGGAAAGTCTCTCACGAGGAATTGAAAGGGATATCGGTGTGTTGAATTTTATAAAAACTTTTTTTCTAGTGGAGTGTTTGGCTAAGCATTCCAACCGTGCAGCCTGATCCAATAAAATATTTCAGAACATTTGATGAAAACAATTACGCCACTGTGGTGGATGTATCTCGTTCCTGCAAGATATCTGATGGTACGTTTGAGAAAAGAGTGATACTTAAGTCTTTACATAAATTTCATTGGAAAAAGATAATTATTCGTTTTTTTTATTCGTTACTCGAAACTACTTTTTCTTAGTACTGAAATTGAATAACGAATAAAATTTTATTTGTTATTTGTCATTGGAATAACACCTAACATTGAACTGTGTTAGTATATTTTTAACCTTCGCCCTAATAAATTAAGACATTTTATTTTCTCTTTCAAAACAAATAACGCGATCAATGCTACTTCCGAATTCATGTATTTTATTATGTCTCTCCGACACAATATAACATTTCCAGCCCTATAATGGAGAAACAAAGGCTTTGCACTCGACAATTTTTAAAAAATAATTTTAGAGGCTCTAAAAATATATAAAGTATACTATACATATAGTATTACATGGACGTATTAGATTACACAATACGTCCGGTTTAATTGTATACACACCATTACTTCGTTAACTATTGAAAATGCAAAAAAATGTTTCATACGAAAGTTGTTTGATTTCATAGAATAAAAATAGAATATTTTAATTTTTTTGTAATTGCTGTTTAAAGAGATTTTAATAACAATGTATTTTTTTTAATGGAAATCTTACGTTTTGTTATTGCCCTTTATTAAGCATTTCAGAACGAATTCAACGACATATTTGTAAGTTCCATTTGGACAATCATTTTTCGGTTAATTGTATAAGTATTGATCGCAATTTCAGCGTGTCTCGTGGATGACACTTAATGGGTACAAGAAGCTAACCGAACTAGATATTTGCCAGCATTATTCACACAGTTATCCGAAAAATTATGATTCAAACAGAGGTTTCAAATATGTCGTTTAATTCGTCTTGAAAAGCTTAATAGCGTGGTAATGATAAAAATATGTAGTTCTAAATATGTATGTTTCTTATCATTGTATATTTTTTTGTTGCATATACGTACTATATTTATTAGAAAAGATTTGATTGTACAAATATCTTTATATCCACTGCACGTTTATAGATATAGGGTGCGGTCGAAAGGATCGGACAAGCAGGCAAGGAGTGATTCTTTATGCAAAAATAAATCCAAAGTGTAGTATCAAATTTGTTCACCCAGGACTTAGTTTTAAAGAAACACAAACTTGAAAATTCATCTAAAGCGCGTGTATTCGTGCTGGCAATAAGTAGAAACGGAATATAATGAACAGACACCTAAGCTAAGTCCTATTCGATTATTATGCGTATCCAATAGATTTTCAAATTCAATTATCTTGAAAACGATGCATCACACGAACAAATGTAATTGTACATTTTCGACTTATGATTGCATGTAGAATAACTTTCTGCTCGGTTATACCATTCTTTCGGTCGCACCTTCTATAATACTTTTTCTTCATTTCTACACATTCAACATACTAGCGAAGTTTGATAGCATAACTGTAAAATATGTTAAACGATTGATAACTATGTATAACTTATAAAATATTAAGTTACATTCTGCTTGCGGCATTACACTATAGATACAATTAATTGATACTTTATAGATTAAACTCCATTGACGCGCATGTGAAGAATTATGCTCCTCAAATTTTGGCACTAGCTGGACCACCTGGCGCCAGGCCAGCGTTGCTGCATCTGGCTAATCTTATTACGAAAAACCATTCCCTGTTGATTTGCGGAGAAGTATATCCGGTACATAGTTTACTAAACAAACTTCCCATGTGGCCTTTGACTGTACCTAATTCTTCTTTCGATTCTATATTTATGTTCTGAAAATTCAGTCGAAACTTTTTCAGGTGTATTGTACAATATACAACCAAGAAAAGGTCTTAACAATCATGCAACCAAAAGCCAAATTAATTAAAAACTTTGTTTACTTCTATAGCTTTTAATTGATTACAAATTACATTTATCGTTTTTTCTCTGATTATTATTTATGTTCATTTGACAATTTCCTGGTACACTTTTAGACGAATCTATCTTATCGACTACGTTCGGTTCGGATGAGAAATGGCTACGCATGGTTGCATCAACAGCGTATAAAATCGTTTTATCATGTGGTGGAAGATTTGAGTTTCGAACGTGGGGCGTCGGCTTTTATGCAGGTAACAGGCGTTGGAAAATTAGCGCCGAACGTGGTTCTTATGGGTTACAAAACTCACTGGGCAACTTGCAACCACAAAGATCTTCAAGAATACTTCAATGTCCTTCAGTAAGTTAAATGAAATTATTACTTAATGCAATAGAGACACTTCACAAAGATCATAGTGCAATGCTTCAAAAAATTTGAAGAACTTTGGTGAAAGTTAGAGAAAGTGTTCTAAATATGGGCTAGGATTTTTACATCAGGACTTATTGCCAAACCTGTTGAAAATTGTATCTAACAACAATACAGTGTATCTAAAACATCTTTGCTTTAAGATTAACAGAGTTAACATTTTTTTCTTCAGTCATAATTTCATATTATTCCCGTTAGGATGAAGCACCTAATATGTATAATCCTACAATATGTGCCTACTTTCAACTAGCCCATATTTAGAGTCTAGCCTGTATTTGGAACACCTCCTCTATTTGCGCCGTTCATAGGCCAAAGTGATTAAACCTACTTTTTCAATTATTTCAAATTTTAGTGCCAAAACATTTGATTGGTATTTAACTTTGTATATTTTTGTGTAGTTAATCATTTTGATAAATGAACGGCTCATTTCCTTAATAAAAGAGCTCAGCAACGATTAGGATTTAAACGTAAAAGTAATATTACACTTTACATTTTTCAACAGATCACTTTATACTCTGTTTGGTTGTCATCAACAGACAGATTATCTTTTTTAATTGCCGACATTAATAAATAGCACATTCATTTCGAACACTTATTTCAAATAAGAGCATTAGGATTGAACTGATTTTGACAAAATCTTGTAACTTAATGAGTTTCAACTAAACGAATTATCGTATTCTGTTCCGTCGAGGAACAAGAAGGACAACCGACACGGTCCTTCGACCGCTCGACGAAGAAATTTGTTTTACTGTTGCCAGATGTGCGAGTCAGAGTTAACATTCTCATTCATCGACGTTTAAGGATTCCACATCTGGCATCCCAAGTAATAAAATACTTTCGTGCTTTCGTCGAGCGGCGACTTAAGCCTTAACATACGAGGGCCGTATTGCCCGGCAGTCGGTACCGTTACGCCAGGTCATCCTCCGTTCGGGCTTACGGAGGGTTGACGCCGACTCGCGGGACCGGCGCGCTATTCCGGGGTTCGTTCCTCTTCCCCAATTTCGCGGACTTCGACCTGAGGGAGAGGTTTCCTCCACCACCGTCGCAGGATGACCGGGGGCTTGCCACCACCACCAACGAAGTGACCAGGGCGGTGTCGTTCCAACCCTATAGGAGTGGCTGGAGATCCTCCTTCCTCAGGTCGATACAAATCGATATCGATATTCTGTCAACGCCCAATAAAAGGCGTTGACACCCCCGAAGGCGCGACTCGGGGGAAGCCGGAACCGAGGAGGAAGCGAACCCCGGGACTCCAGGACAGATTTAATCTAGTCGTCGAACGAACTGAATCAACGGAGTCAACGAACGGACTCCTTCAGAGAATCAATAGAGTCAGCGAACGGACTCCTTTAGCTGAACTACGAGAGTCATCGAACGGACTCCTTCAGCAACCAGAATTCGAAACAGTTACTTAAAATTAAATTGGCGAGTAACACAGCGAAGTCGCGAATACGGCTTACAACCGTAAGATCGATAACGAAACAATTCGCGACGCGACATATTCTTTTATTTAGAACTTGGAATATGATATTCGTTCGGAGTGTAATATAAAACGTTGGACGCTCCATTTAAAAGAAGATAAATGACTTTCAATCTTACTAGAAAGCAATAAAACATTTAGAGGAGACACATGGTGCCCTTTATTTTCGGTACAATAGTTTTTAAACTGTTATAGTAGAAAACGTTATTACAAACGAACATTTTAAACATAAAAATACATCGCCATGTGTAGCAGACGCTTATGTGTTCAATGTAAATTTCTATACATATTTTAGGACCATTATTAGGAAATTATTATTACCATATTTTTCAAGTACATTGCGTTATCTTCTTTAATTGCTGACCATAAGTATGTGACCTTTTAAAAGGACAATATAGTTGATCGAGCAGATTATGTACGTTAACGTTACTTTTGATGATAATAACCATTGTCTAGTAAGAACTTTCACATTAACCGGCAATTTATAGAATCTCAACCGGCATTTATGTTGAGAAGTGAGTCACATGAAATAGCAAATCCATTACAAATGCTTATAATTATGCAAATATCGATTTTGAAAGGTATATTTACGGGAACTACAAACAAACAGAAATTTGTTTACTGCATTAAATATTTTGTTAGGTCCAAAATAAAATGAAAACTGCACTGCAGTTTATTAAACTTTTTAATATACTGCATTTTCAACTATCGCGTATGCTATAAATACATAAGATACGTAGTGTACTCATAATTTTTTTATTAAATATTATTGAAAGAATTAATATAGATAAAATGACATTCTGTAATCGTTGCAGCAACGCCTTCGACCAAAAATTAGCCGTGACTATGTTACGAATTGCGGAAGGCTTGGATTGTTCCGAAGTTCCAACTGCAAATGGCGATGAAGAACACGGCGCCCTAGCGCAGAGTAGCTACGACCTGACAGGAAGTACTCTGATGCACGTCGACAGCAATCTGTCCATGTCCAGTGAGATTCCAAGGGTTCAAAGTGTGCCTACAATGGGTAACTATATTGGTACAAATACTACGTAACATTACAAAATACGAGGCACATCCACAAAGTATAAGGTCCGATGAGCAATTAAGGAATCAATGAAAGGAAAAAAAAATGTTGAATTATAGCGAAGAATACCTACTCATACATTGTTTTTTTACAACCAGGCCATTGATTTCCACGTCTTTGGTGTATCGTTACACCAGCTGTTTTAAACCTGCATCGAAAATATCTATCGCCAGTGACTTCAGCCAGTTTATCACTCCTGTCATCGGTCTATCGGTCCTGTAATCAAAATGCGGATGCATATTGTGAATCTTTAAAGAAACTGGGACACGTCGTTCAGAACAAAAGACGTGCAATGCTGCCATCAGTGATTGTGCGTTTTTGCACGATAACGCTAGTCCTCGCACAGTACGTACAACTATTCAGCTTCTGAAGAAGTTTAGACGAGAAATGTTCGATTATCCATCCACAGCAGCTACCTCGCGCCGAGTGACTACTATCTGTTCCGTCACTTAAAGCAGTGGCTTCAATCTTAGTGTTCTCAAAATGATGGCGGACTGATGACAAAAGTAACAAACTAGCTGAAGTCACTGCCAGAAGATTTGTTGATGCAGGTTTAAAAAAGCTGGTGCAACGATGCACCAACTGTGTGGAAGTCAATGGTGATTACGTGGAAAAATAATGTATGCAACTATTTACGTATTCAGAGATTCGAGGCTTTCACGGCCCGGCATCATACAGTTCTCACTGTTGAGGCTTTCGGGTGTAAGCCGTGTCCTTGTGGAATTGTTTTCCCAATGTTTCGCAAGGATTGCAGCTAGCTTCATCAGGGGGTCGAAGACACACTGATACTGGTGTGTGTCTTGTGGTGCTCCTCTAATATGCTGGAGCTTGGTCACGTTCCGGTTCATTGCTTACCAATTAAAATCGAATTTTAATTGTTCAGCTGACCAATTCCACCTTCCTGCCATATATACAAGGCACTACCGACCGCATAAGCAAGATACTTAGGAAACACAATATTAAAACCATTTTAACGACACATACCAAAATCAAGCAGATGCTCACCTCTCCTAAAGATCCGCAACCGCAGCTTTCATCGGCGGGGGTTTACAAAATACCTTGCTCATGCGGTAAAGTATACATTGGCGAAACCAGGAGGAGTGTGAACACACGACTCAAGGAACACGAGCGATGCACCAGATTGGGCTACATGTAATCAGCTGTTGCAGAACACCACAAGACAACAGGACACAAAATACTTCTGAACGAAACTAAAGTAATAGCAAAGACCAAAGGATACTTTCCCCCGAAAATACCAGGAAACGTTGGAAATACAAAAACACCCTAATTACATCAACAGGGATACAAGACACCACCTGAACCCAATCTGGAGCTCCCTCCTCCCGGTTTTTTAATTGTTCAGCTGACCAATTAAAATTCGATGTTGATTGGTAAGCAATGGACCGAAACATGACCAAGCTCCAGTATATTAGAGGAGCACCACAAGACACACACCAGTATCAGTGTGTCTTCGACCCCCTGATGAAGCTAGCTGCAGTACTTGCGAAACGTTAGGAAAACAATTCCACAAGGACACGGCTTACACCCGAATGCCTCAACAGTGAGAACTGTTGTTACGTATTGTTTACTATGATTCGATATTTCCTTTCCTTTCAATGTGGCTTTTAGGTGTAGGCCCTCCTGCCACTTGGTGTCGGGAGTTGCTCAAATTTATGCCAAATTAACGTTTGGTTCAAGATTTATTTCAAGACTTCAAATAAATTTACCAAGTCAATTTGAAAGAAAGAAAGTAAAGTTGTAGAAGGACTTTCCCATATGCCGCTTTTTCCCCTGGTTTGCTCGTCGGTGTACATACAGTGAATAAAAGAAGTATTTGCATTGAACCTATTTTCTAAAACAATTGTATAGATTCTTAGGTTGTACAGTGTTGTAAAGTGAATATATGTTTCTAGGCACTCACTTCGTACCAGTTGAAGGACCTGAAATAATAAGAGATTCACCAACACACGGAAGTGCTCGGGATCACCTTAAGCATAAGAGAAAACATGCAATCGAAAAATTAATGTAAGGACCAATATTTATTTATTATTTATAACTCCATATTACGACGGCACAAATACGGAACATAATAATTCTCATGTTACTTTAAAAATTTATCATTTTACATAAAATAATAAATATGTTTATTCTACGTACATAAGTTGCTCATAAAACATCTAAGTGTTACTTTTATTTTCAAAATTAAGATCGTATTGTTTCGTTAAAGAATTTGTTTTCTTTAAACGTTTAAAATTCTTTTTGAAAAATTTATTCGTCAAATTAGATTGCAAAACTGGAAGCCTCTACAAAATTTCATTATATCTTATAAAGTAACAGAAACATGATTTTCGTGATTAATTTTCGGGATAAAATCTTGAGGTGAAATCATAGTACTGATAATAATCTCTGCTAGTGTCAATTTAAATAAAGAATGTACTAAAATTGTGTACGCAAGAACAGCAAAACTAGAACATAAACACGTTTGTTCCACCATTTGGTATGATTACCAACATGTATATAATATAATAACATTTTGTGTCTTATAAATGTTTAGGGAAAAGCGACATGCAATGACGGCTGTGCCTGAACACTTGGCCATTTTCCAGAAGAAACATAAGAATGGAACAATTGACGTGTGGTGGTTATACGACGATGGAGGTAATTCAAAAAATATTTACATGAGTTTGCAAACGATTGGAGTGGTTATCACTTATAATTACTACAAGTATTCAATTGGAGTACATAAAGTGATGTTATTTTTTCTAAATATAATTTTATCAATTCTTTATTTTAATCAGTTTTCCAATTCAATCTGATTTGTTTTATTGTCAGTTTATATCTAGCAAATGTTCTTGATGGCTAAAGCCGCGCAAAGTTGATACGAATCTAAAGAATTTTTTTAATTATTTGAGTAATATTTTAACACCTCTTCCATTATTCGCGATCTGCCTCAAAACTGTTCGGTTCTAAACTGTAATAATTGTTTGCAAGATAACGATAATTTTTAGTATAAAGTATTCAAAATGTTTTCTTCTACCTTTAGTTTCATGAGTGTGAACAATTTTTAGACCTTAGAAAGTATTTTACTAACTATTTCTTCCTCCCCAAAATTTAAAATCAAGATGACAAGATGACAGCTCAAGATAATTTAAAATATTTTTAAATATTCGACCTCCACACTCTCCTCCATCTTAGTAAAGAAGTATCGAAGCTGTTTACAGAGTTTGTATAATTACTCTAAGCACTGTATTTTTTCAAAAGGAAAGTATTTTGACGGCTGATAGTAAAAAATATCAATACCTTATGAAAAATAGCTATTAATTTATTAAAATAATTTGTTAAAATTCTACTTCACTTTGTAGCAGTACGTAATTAATTAGTATACATACACAAGTGTATCCAAGTCTTAAAAATAGACTAACATTTTTAATACATGGTTATCTACTGACTAACATCTATAACTATTGATAATCATAATTTACTTCACGAGTGACTTTGTATCAATTGTTCACAATCTTACATTTTCAACAACTTTCAACAAAGATAAGTTCCTAAATATTATGTTCTATAGTTATTTAAACAGTGTCAATAGTAAAATACATTTTTTATGAAATCAAACACTACTAATTAAAATTATAGTTTTACATCTTCGATAAAATTTACTACATAGTTTGAAAATTTAAAGTGGACCGTATAAGGGTATATCAGCAATTCTGCGCACCTCACATATCTTCATTATTTCAAGTAATAAGCAAAAACATTTCCGGGCCAGATAGGATTAAAATAACCGTAAAATGAGCGTCTTTAAGGCATCGTGGTGCATGTGGATTACGTATAAAACATGTATGATTTCAAGAAAGATATAACACGGTAGAAATAGTTTATTTACAGAAGAAAACGTAAAGATTCAGAGATCAGTTTTGTTTTATTAATAAAATGTCCACTTTTTTAGTTTTTAAAAACTAATTTTTATAAAAGAACCACGGTACATTTATCCTAAAGCTCGCAGTTTCTGAGACATTCGAGTTTGTCCATCCAATTTACTTTCATTATAAAACATGTTCGAAGTGTTGACCTTGCGCACCGATCTACTTGTCGAATCCCTTGCATATATTATCGTCTCAAAGTATTTTTTTTATTTATTATATTAAGATATGTTCTATCTATTTTTGTTTACATCCGAGGTATTGAGCATAACGTCGAACATATTTCATAATGGAAGTAATAGGATGGACAAAATCGAATTTTTCAGGAACGATGAGTTTTAGAATATACGTACCTTAGTACTTTCACAGTAAAAAAACTATTGCCAACATGTTATGTCTTTGTTATAATCATACAACTTTAGTAAGTAATGTTTTCGCCTATTACTTGAAAATTCAAGTTGAAATAATAGAAATATGTGAGGTGGACAGAGTTGGTGAGACATCCTGTATATAAACTGATAACGCACGTAAATCTATACTATTGTTATTGTCTTTCTATTTTCAAGTATCCAATTTTAACATTCCAGTCGTTTGCACTTGAATCGCGTAAGAATATAGGCTCATTTGTAAGTGGCAGAAATTGTTACTCGGCAGGTTTGACGATTCTCTTGCCATATATTATCAGCACACGCTCGAATTGGGAGCACTGTAAGATGAGAATTTTCGCACTTGCGAACCACAAGCAAGATATCGTCGCACAAGAAAAAGAGTAAGTCAGAAATGATAAAAAAGTCAATCCACTTTAAATAAAACGTTATTGACTTTTTTTGTTCTTTACTTATATATAATAAATTATAATACAGTACACTTGGCAGTTATAAGCAAAAATAATTGACTAACTATTAATTCAAATTCAAATTTCCATTAACAAATTTGAAATGTCAAACAATGCTCATGAAATAAATATTGCAACGTTTAGAATGGCGATGATTATGGCGAAGTTCAGGATAAGGTATACCAGTCTGAAAATGGTGGATGATATTAGTGTACAGCCTAAACAAGAAACACAAGAATTTTTCAATAAACTTATATCGAATTTCAGAAAGAACGATCCGGCCGATACAGGTAAAGCAAAGAAATGTTATTTTATTTTCTAAACCTCAAAGACTGGCATAATATAATCATCGATATGAATTTGTAATTTGATTTCAGAATGTTATGTAACAGAACTTGAACTTCAATCTTTGAAAGACAAGACTCATAGGCAATTAAGACTTCGAGAGTTATTATTGGAAAACTCCAGTCAGTCCACGTTGGTTGTAATGTCAGTGTTATCTTTATTCAAAGTATAGATTTTTCAACGTCTTTTAAGAATCATATTAATAATTTCTTAACAAATGACAATTTTTTAATGACAGGTCTTTACCAATGCCCCGAAAAGGTGCAGTTTCGGCTCCACTCTACATGGCATGGTTGGAAGCTTTAACCAAGGATATGCCACCAACACTTTTAATACGTGGAAACCACACTTCAGTGCTAACGTTCTATTCGTAGTTCACCGGCGTACTTATAAACAATACACCTGTTCCTCGAATTACACAGGCGATACGCGCCACAATCAGCTGTTTATGCGGTAAAAAGCTGTACAAATCGAGTCAACCCAACATTCGACGAATCCATAAGAATAAGCAAGAAAGTGTTCTTATTTTCGACCTCCGAATTTGTTCGTTCTCACCCCTTAGAATGATTTCCATTCATAGAAATCTAATATGTGCACAAGATTGGCTCGATTGAATAATGGGAAAAAGTGACCCAACAGCCTAGAAGTTTTACATATAATAAAGTTTTTATAAACGCGGTTCGCCTGCTAGTCCAAGTCGTCTAGCATATTTTTCCACCTATCTAGCTGTTTTGTTTCTTAAATTTATTGGTACCTGGTGCTTCTTTTAGAACTCCTACTGTTAAAAGTCGCAATTACTTTAGTAGTACCTGTAATTATTGTTGTAGAGATTACAATACTGGGGTCGGCTGATGACGCTGATGAATGAAATAAATGATACATATATACAGGTTAAAATACATAACGATATATTTTAAATCATCTAAAGAATTTTGTTTTACTCAATTCGAGGTTGAATGGAGTGAGCGTATGGAAATGAATGTGAACGCACAGCCGAACGCGATAAAATAGCCTCCAGAATAATAGTTGCAGACGCTATTGTAATCGAAAGCGACTTTTGACATTAAGGTTACTAAAAAATACATTAAACAGTAATAAATATAAGAAAAGCAAGTGCAGATGGACAGCTGGATAACTTTGCTAGCGAACTGACTGAAAGTAGTGGCGGAAGCACGCTTATGGGATTTTTTATGTAAATTTCTGAGTTCTGGGGCCACACTTTGCAGCTGTGTATGATCGAAAAAATTTGATTCTATATTTACAGTTCAATTAAAATAAGGTCGAAATAACAAATAATTGAAGAAAATAAGAACTTTTTGGCCATTACTATAAAGCAAGTATACATACAATAGAAGAAAATGTATTTTTACCATATAAATGCATAATATGTAAAACTAGAACTACGTAAATCGGGGGACAAGTGGAACATAATTTTAATTATTAAAAAAGATTTACGTTAAATAACACGACAGCGTCTGCGCAAATATGAGATATTTTCTGGTGCAGACACAGACAGTATTCGGTATATTCATGCCAAAAGTTATAGGTAGTAAGTGCTATGATCTGTTTTCGTTTTTATACAGTATTCTTCTCATCGTTGAACCCCGGGATATTTAATGACGAGATTACTTTAGCATAGAAACGAAAGACAACAATACATATAGGGACTTCTATAAATTATGATATCATGAATTTACAACTTATAGAATCTTAGGGCACATAAGTAAAGAAGTGCACATACAACAGAAACTATTGCAAGATGTCGTGTACTTATAAGTGAAGATCTATCTTCTATAGTTATATTAATAATAAACGACTATTACATTATGTCATGAATATTATAAGTGTTTTGAAAACATCATAAATCTTTAGACACATTAAAATTATTTACATGTAGTCGATTGACTTACTCTTAATGTAATACTCGTGATATTACAAGGTTTTTTCTAACTGGATTAAAGGTATAGTACAGAGTTGGTGAAACAAACAAGAAGAAATAATCGTACTTATACTTGTATATTTTAAAGACTTTCCTTGATTTCTTTTACTTATTTACTAACATTTATAGGATCATACTTTTTACTTTAAACAACACTGTACTTAATAAGGAAGTACTTCTTCATGTATTAATCCCTAGACACCACACTAGTGCGAACTTGCACTAGCGAAACATTGTTTAATGTAATTATAAAATGATTTCTCACTTTTGCAATTATTACCATTAAGTTACTCTCGAAATTTTACCTTAAAAAATATTTGGATATTCAATTCGCTTTTATTCTCTTCAAGTTCTTAATTATAAAAAATTCAAAATCCCAATTCGCACTAGTGTGATGTTTACGTATGCTAAGGAGCGGTGTGGTGTCTGAGGGTTAAAACAGACACAGTATTGATGTTTGAATACAAAATATTTTATAAACGAATCAGTTATCATTTACTGACTCAAAACAAAATTAAACCATACATACTTATATTTTTAACGGTTTTTCACTAATACATACAAAGGAAATGTAAAAAAATTAATTTTTATATAAAAGGAAGCACGAAGAAAGATTTTAAAAAAATGTTTATTAGATGTTATTTAAATCCGTTTTTTTCTAAGTTAGAATCTAAATACGTTATTTGACTTTAAATATGAATAATTTATATTAGTAAAATAATGTGACGAATCTTCGCTTTATGATAGAAAATGAAGTTTCCGTACTTAAAATGCCAACTTATTTTAAAAGCACGGTCTCTTTAATTCGTAAATCTGTAAAAAATATTTTTTCTCCGTGTATGTTGCTGCAAGTGCACCATTTGTAAATATACGATAAAGAGTATAATTTTAATTAAAAGTACACATAATTGTAAAATGTTTTATTTATTTTGTAATGCATTTAATGACATACAAATTTATGATTAATTATAATGAATTTATTGTAATCAGTTGTATTGTTAAATTCCTGAACTTATGATTCCTGCTCTTAATATAACAGTTTTAACATAATTGAAAATTTTCATAATTATGTTGTGTACAATATGGCAGCAGATTGAAATGTAAATTATTATTTCATTTTTATTTAGAAATTAAAATATGAGAGTGAGCATAATTCAGGAATCAGTGCTTCGTGTTCGACCTCTCCCACTGAACGAATATGTTCTATAATCAACATTAATGTTATTACTATACATATATTTTAATGTATTATGTATTCTAAATGATACATATAAAACAGCTGACGTTATAAATCTTTTTAATATAAATAACAAAGTTTTGTACAAAAACATTGAACACCAAAACCAAGTATATCGTCACTGTAACTATATAGCTCACTTGTTACAATGGGTTTCAAAGATTCTTGCAAAAACAGGTTGTATTTGTTCCAATATATCAGATGTTAGCATTCCTCTCTGCTTTATCTTATATGCAGATGCATTACATTCTCTTACTAATCTTGACGCAGCATAACTTGCAGCTACTGCAGGAGATAAAGAACTTTCACAACTTCCTGCACAAATAGCCCACCACCAGAATGCAGATAATGCACCAACTAGTAGATCTCCTTGTCCACCACATCTTCGACCAGAACCAGCTAATCCACATGATACTGCTTCTGTGCCTTTATGTCCATCTGCAATTACATCTTTCGCTCCTTTGTGCAAAATTATAACATTTTTGCCAAGTGTTTCTGCCAAATGTTTCACATCAGTAGCTTTGACTAAAGGTGTAGGTTGAGTCGATTTTTCAAGTACTCCTTTCACCAGACGACTAAATTCCATGGCATTTGGTGTTAAAATTACACCTGGATATTCTTTTATAATATCAGGTTTTTGACTAACTAAGAATAATCCATCTGCATCGATTATTAATGGCTTCTTCATGTCACGACAGATTGAAATCAGTTCTACAATTATCTTGAAGATTTTGTCATCTCTACCAAGACCAGGACCAATAATAATTACATGCAGGCGATCAAGCCATGGCCTTATTTGTTTAATCGCATCATATTGATCTAATACTGGATGAACAATTGGCTCTGGGCTAAATGACTTCAAGGGAATACTGGCATCCTTTACACAAAATATATGCACCAAATCACATCCTGTGCGAAGTGCACTCATAGCTGCAAAATATGGTGCACCCGTATATTCTATACTACCACCAAATATGCCAATTCTGCCATCTTGCCCTTTATATTTCACACTGTTTAAGTTTGGAACGACTCGTCTTATTCCTTTCAGCATACGCTCATCTATTGACGCCGATGTGGACATGGTAGAAATGGACAGAAGCTTGACTGAATTCCTACAAGCAAAATGTAAAATAGCAAGAGCCATTCCTTAACCTAAGAGTTTAATGTAATTATTACTACTCTCTGAATGGTCAAATGTGATATTTAGTACCAGTGAACACCTTTCTAATATATGTACTGTAGTTCTTGTCATAAATTATTGTGTATTATGATACTTATTTGAAAACTTTATGAAAATGGTATGAATGAAAGTATTTATTAAATTACAATATTACCTGTACAGATCAGAATAAATAAGTGGTGGTTTATACAAACGTTGTCTTTTACTATCAAATATTAATTAAGAAGAAATCGAACAAGAGCACTAAGCAAGAATATAATCAAAAAGCCGATAACCTATAACCTAATTATTTTAAATGTACAAAGGTATGTTAATTTCTGTTTGCATGCATGCATATAAAGTATACAATTCTTTGAAGTAGGTTATACAAATATTTAATTACACAAAAGAGCAATAGTGTTGTAATAACTAGATAATTTTGAAGGTATAACACAAAAACATGAACAACCGTATGTACAATTTAAATCTTTTAAAGACGGTCGGCAATTCAAACATCAATTGTTTACCAGTTTTTTGCTATACTTATCGCTAACAAATTCAGACGATTGTATCATGACTGTGCATGACTAAACCTTAAAATGCACTCATTTTACATTACAATAATAAAAAATACTTAACAAAATACTTTTATGCCATTCTGTAAGGTATGTAACCTGATTGACAAAATGTAGTCACGCCTACCATTACATTTAGTACAATACAGTATCGGACAAAAATATTCATACACCCTCTAAAAAAGGAACAACTTTTTTAAAGTTGGTCCAAATGATATGAGTTCTTTTGTGAAGTTTGGGACATTAGTTTACTAAATGATGTGTAAAAAAAATTGAAAAAGTTGCAATTGGTCGGAATCGCGAAGAAAATAGTAAAGTTCGTTCTTTAGAACTTTTTAATCTGAGGTTATAATGAAAATGTAATAAATATGTTACGTTGTCGCGGGTAGTGTCTTTAGTTCAAGCGATATTTAGGGTTATCGATATACGAGTGTTGGAAGCGCGAAGTTTGAAAGAAATGTAATAGAAGAAGGGAGAAAGGTGAAGTTGGCACATGTAGGAAACGATTTGAAATCAGTAGTTACTCATCCAAAAGGATAGATTTCAAGTTATTTATGTTTGAATAATTTCTCTTTATCTCCTTCTCCTAATATGCAAACCAATGCTAAGATGTTAAACACTCGCAAACTGGACAGTTGATAAATGACAGGGAATGGATTGGCAAATAGGAAGTCGTTTTAATTAATTAATAATTTCCTGATTGGATGTCAGTATCTAAGACATTTTGTTAATAAACAAATTGTATTTGTTTTTATAATTCGGCAAGGAGATGACGCTCCTTGCTTTTTTCTTCCACCATTCATCTCTGGACATTACAACTATCCAGACGCGTTCTCGAACATAGAAAGTATTTATAAAATTAAATTCATTTATATAAGTGTAAAAGGGTGTTGAAATTAAAATTAAAGAATTGTGAACAGTTTGAATTGAAATTGTTATTTAATTGAACACTCAAATACAAAATCACAATTAAAAGCGCCCCATAGGCGCTAGCTCACGCCATATTTCCCACGCAGTAAAATTCCCTAAGAAGAACGCAACAAATTTTTGGTGACAGCGGTGGGATCTCGAAATTTATCGTGGACGACACCGGAGCTGCGGAGGCCAGCGGAGTAGCGGACGACATCAGAGCAGCAGAGGCCAACGGAGCTGTGGACGACAACGGAGGTGCAGAGGCCAGCTGAGTTGCGGTCGACATCGGAGCTGTGGAGGCCAGCGAAGTTGCGGACGACATCGGAGCAGCAGAGGCCAACGGAGCTGTGGACGACAACGGAGGTGCAGAGGCCAGCTGAGTTGCGGTCGACATCGGAGCTGCAGACGACATCGGAGCTGCGGAGGCCAGCGAAGTTGCGGACGACATCGGAGCAGCAGAGGCCAACGGAGCTGTGGACGACAACGGAGCTGTGGACGACAACGGAGGTGCAGAAGCCAGCTGAGTTGCGGTCGACATCGGAGCTGCAGACGACATCGGAGGTGCGGAGGCCAGCGAAGTTGCGGACGACATCGGAGCAGCAGAGGCCAACGGAGCTGTGGACGACAACGGAGGTGCAGAGGCCAGTTGAGTTGCGGACGACAGCGGAACTGCGGAGGCCAGCGGAGCTGTGGACAACATCGGAGCAGCAGAGGACAACAGAGGTGCAGAGGCCAGCTGAGCTGCGGTCGATATCAGAGCAGCAAAAACCAGCAGGGTTGCTGAGAAAATCGAGAACTATGCCACCGTTTGCAAACAAGTATAAGAGAGCTAAAAAAAGTTTTAAACGAAATAAAAAGGGTCGTAATTCTATCAGGTGTAATGATAATGGGTTTCAAGTAGAGGAGTTGTTAGTAGTATCACCGTCTAATATAGAAACTGCCTCAGTAATGTGTCAATCAGGAAAATCAAGTTCGACTCCAAATCAGTCTTCTCCTCCTCTTAGCGCATTTGATATATCTAGTTTAAATACTGCATTCACTCCTTCTACTGACACCTCAGTTGTCGTAGTAACAGACACACCAGAACCCTCTCCTGAATCCTTGGGTGTTGCCTTTGATGTGCCCCACGTAAATGATAAATCCATTCCTCCTCCTCCAACTGAACCATCTTTCACGCCTTCGAGAGTTGCAACACGTATATCTTTCGATCTGATCGCAAGTTTCATCCCTCATTTTGATGGGAAATCATGTTCTGTCGCCAATTTCATGGTCCAATGTAGACTTGCTGATTCATTAGTCAAACCCGATGATAAATTTTATCTGCTTGCCTTAATACGTAATAGGATGCAACGACGTGATTATAGTAGGATCGTCGGTGATAGTGAACCAAAAACTGTAGAAGAATTTATTAATTTAATGAAAGCCACGTATGAGCAGAATTTTGATATACAGAGTGTTCAGGATGAATTGAAAACTATACAACGGAAGGATAATGAAACTATTGATGAATTCGGAACCAGAGTGCATGAGATTCTAGATCGAGGAATAGATGCAGCACAAGAAAAATTTAATCTTGAACATCTCGTAGGAATCAGAGTTCTGCTTATACAAGAAGCAATATCTGGGTTTTTAAGAGGATTACATAATGACACAATTATGTTATTAATTTCTAACAATAATGTAGATCACTTAAGTACTGCCATTAAAATGGCTTCTAATTTGGAAGGCAAGTTAAGATATAAAAAAGAAATTTCGAATCACAAACAATTGATAAACAAATCTGCTGTTTTTGTAGCACAGTCTAATAATTTAAATGAACGGAGATGTTTTAATTGCGATAAACATGGCCATTTTCGTGCAGATTGTCCTTTCCTAGAACAGCATCACAAGTTTGTTAGACCAAGCCATAACAAAATTAGATGTACTAATTGTGGAAAAACAGGTCATGAAAAGGCTCAATGTTATAGGGAAATGAACCGTTATGCATGGCAAAAGTCGTCACCTGAGGTGACCGTAGTTAATGATAAACAGCAGCCTTTAAACTCAGGAAGGGTTTCGAGGAGTGGCGCAACTCACCCCAAGCCCCTTTTTGCACGCACCGGATCTATCGTATCTGCTACAACTTCGACATAATTAATGCTGAACAACCACCTATCCTTCCTCTTGAGCATAGTCATTTTTGTCAGGGCTCAGCCAAATTCTTAATTGATACTGGCTCACAACTGAATTTAATAAAACAAAAAGAATTGGTTTCAAATTTAAAAATTAATTTGGATATAGTCTATAATCTTACTGGTATTGGTTTAGGGATGATTCACACACAAGGGGAGGTTTGTATTCCAATCCAAAATATTCCTGTTTACTTTCAAATAGTGAACAACGACTTTCCCATCCAAGAGGCTGGAATTTTAGGAATTTCATTTCTGCAAAAACAGGAAGCTACGTTACAATTTAAAAATAATTTATCAGGCTTTTTGCAATTTGGTAAAGGGAAATCTTTTAATTATAATCTTTCATCTTATGACTTACCTCCTCGAACTAAGGCTCTAATTACTGTCCCAACAACAAATATCAATCCATCAGGTTATGTCAGGCGAATTAATACTGGCCCTGGCATCTTTGTGGGAGAAGTGTTGGCAAGCCAACAAAATGGTTCAGTAAAGATATATGCCATAAATACCACATTAGACCATATTATTCTTACTATACCTGCTATTGAGTTAGAAGAATTTGACATTATGCCACCTGCTTCACGCTCATCTCGAACAGGAAACCCTGATGTGCCCCAGCCAAGGGATCATGCTTTGCGACTAGCTCGGTTAATATAGGCCCTTGAATTAAGTCATTTGAATGAGAGTGAAAAAACCAGTATACTGGAAGTTCTTAGGGAATTCCCGTATCAGTTTTATTTACCACCGGATAAGTTAGGTTCTTCTAATGTAACTCAGCATACAATAACAACTGTGGATGAAATGCCAATTAATACAAAGCAGTACCGTTTCCCATCTGTACACAAGGGCGAAATACAAACCCAGGTGGAAACCTTGTTACAAAATAATACTATAGAACCATCTATTTCCCCATACAATTCACCAGTGTGGATTGTTCCTAAGAAGGCCGATTCTAGTGGTAAGCCACGCTGGCGAATGGTAATCGATTACCGTAAATTGAATGACAAGACCATTAGTGATTCGTACCCTCTCCCTAATATAACGGACATATTGGACCAGCTTGCAGGCGCGAAGTATTTCAGCACACTTGACTTAGCTTCTGGTTTTCATCAAATTCAAATGGACCCTAAATCCAAGGCAAAAACTGCTTTTTCCACCCCATATGGCCATTATGAGTTTAATAGGATGCCATTTGGGTTGAAGAATGCCCCTGCTACCTTTCAAAGGGTAATGGATTTAGTACTTTCCGGGTTGCAGGGTATAGAACTTTTTGTGTACATGGATGACATTGTTTTGTATGCTGACTCATTGGAAGACCACTCTCGTAAACTGAGGACTCTTTTGGCTCGGCTACAAACTGCTGGGTTACTACTACAACCGGAAAAATGTCATTTTCTTAAACAAGAAATAGTGTATCTAGGTCATATAATCACAAAAGATGGTGTAAAACCAGATCCTAATAAAGTAAAGGCCGTTAAAGATTTTCCCGTGCCAAAAACAAAAAGAAATATTAAACAGTTTTTAGGTTTAGTAGGGTATTATAGGAAATTTATTCAGGATATGGCCAAAATAGCAAAACCTCTTACATACATGTTAAAGAAAGATGTTCCTTTTTTTTGGAAGAAAGAGTCTCAAGCCGCCTTTGAAAAATTAAGAGATATTATTTGTACAGAAGCGCTTCTCCAATTTCCAAAATTTACAGAACCCTTTATAGTAACTACTGACGCTTCTAATTTCGCTATAGGTGCTATATTAAGTCAGGGAATAATAGGTAAAGATTTGCCAATCGCTTATGCCTCTAGGACGTTAAATGATGCTGAGAGTAATTATTCTACGATAGAAAAGGAACTGTTAGCAGTGTTATTTGCGGTAGATCATTTTCGACCATATTTATATGGTCATAAATTCACACTCGCAACTGATCACCATACATTGATCTGGTTACACAATGCTAAGGATCCCACGTCAAAAATTATGAGATGGCGAATTAAATTGAACGAATATGATTACGATGTAGTGTATAAACCAGGCCGAGTTAACGCTAATGCTGACGCTCTATCTCGTAATCCTACTGAGTCAGAGACCCGTCTGCCATTTGAAGTTGCGAATTCAGTTGTTAATCCTGATTCAGAGCATCTGGAGAGGGTGTTTGTCTGCGCAAACAAGACACCGTCTCTGGATTCTGAAATTCATGAAATAAATGATGACACTTTGCTATTAGAAAACGAAAGAGATGTGGCAACTGCTTTCCTCGCGCGCAGGAAGGCAGTAGCCGGAATAAAAGAGGTCATAAATAACGAGAGAGAGGATCTTGAAGTACTACCCATACAGGGTTCGCAGTGTTTGGGGACGATGGTCAGGCGTAGGTCTGGGTGGAGACCCTCTTGTGAAAAGACGGTTGCGGCCGATGGTGTGCTAGTAGAGGCTTGCGGGCCTGGGGGAGACCCTCTTTGGAGACCCTCTTGCGAAAAGACGGTTGCGGCCGATGGTGTGCTAGTAGAGGCTTGCGGGCCTGGGTGGAGACCCTTATGTGAAAAGACGGTTGCGGCCGATGGTGTGCTTGTAGAGGCTTGCGGGCCTGGGTGGAGACCCTCTTGTGAAAAGACGGTTGAGGCCGATGGTGTTGTTGAGACCGAGAAGCCAGAGTATTTGTTGACCAAACACAGCGTAGAATATCCTCAGCAATGTGACCTCTTGATAGAGCCATGTATAAATAAGTTGAACTTAAAAGAGTGTGAGACCTCTGAAAGAAGAGTTTTAATTAACCACACAAACGCAGATGGACATATGGCTCTTCCTCTAACTTTTCCTACCATCCTGTATGTAAAAGATCATCTCTTTATGCAAAAAAATAATCTAGTTCATTTTATGCCACTCACTTGTAATTTTATTACTCAAACCACTAAGGATCTATTAGATCATAATAAATTCTCGCTAAATCCAGTGCATCAGTACCGGATCAGTGTTGGCGACAGTATGGCATTTCCAGGAGAAAAATATTCCATGTTTCTACTGTTCTTCAAAAATGCTCTCCAAGATAAATTAGATTTCAATCATGTCGAATCTTCATTTAAGTTTCTTAAAATCCTTTTTACCTCATTGAATATTAAGACTTTTAGTATTTCAAAGGATCCTGATAGCTTTGAAACTTCTGAATGGGGTCGTGTAGAAGGTATGCTGAAACAGATTTTTAATGATTCACAGTACACTATCATAATATGTACAGGTGAAATTGTAACTCCATTGAAATCAGGACGTAATAAAATTTTAAAAGAATACCATGAGTCTACTGTAGGTGGTCACCGAGGCATGCTAAAGCTTTATGAGCATATTCGAGAGCATTTTTATTGGACAGGGATGAGGAAAGAAATTGCAGAATTTGTGCGAAGTTGTTCAATTTGTCAAAGGAATAAAATTTATTCTGCAAGGACTAAGCAGCCAATGCGCATCACGGATATCCCAAAACAAGCTTTTGAAAAGGTGCAGATGGACATTGTTGGGCCCTTGCCTATAACGAATAAGGGTAATAGATATTTGTTAACACTGCAGGACAATCTTACAAAGTACTCAGATGCCATACCTTTATCTAGCATTGATTCGGTAACCGTTGCTATTGCTTTGGCAGAACAATTTATTAGTAGATTTGGATGTCCGAGAACTATTCATACAGATCAAGGAAAAAATTTCATTAGTCAGGTGATGAGAAATTTTTGTAGGATTTTCAAAATACAGAGAATAACATCCACAGCGTTTCATCCTCAATCTTTAGGGTCATCGGAAAGAGCACATCGTGTTTTTATTGACTATCTTAAACATTATTGTAATAAATCTGATTGGGATGACTGGATAAGATTCGGCATGTTCTCATATAACACATCTGTTCATGAAGCTACGGGATTTACACCTCATGAGTTGGTTTTCGGGGTTAAAGCTATAATACCTTCTGCATTTGCCAAAGAAGAGATACCGCGGACTTTCATACAATATTTAGAACAATTATTTACTAAAATTACCACCACTCAAGCTACTGCAGCAGAGAATCTGCAAAAGGCTAAACAAAAAAGTAAAAATTATTATGATAAGAATGTTAATCCTCGTAGCTTTCAAATAGATGATGAAGTATATTTACTTAAAGAGCCAAAGACTTCTAAGTTTGATTGCAGTTGGCTAGGTCCTTATAAAATCAATCGCATGTTCAATAATTTAACTGTAGAACTGGCATTAGGATCTAATAAATTTAAAATAGTACATATTAATAAACTTAAATTGGCATGTATAAGGCCTAATATACTTGATGAAGAGGATTAATATAAAATAAGTATATTTGAGTTAAAATTTTATTATGATACATTAAAAGTTAATTAATTATTATAGCGTAGGATTTGTTCATGGTTCTCTCGTGTTAAGTTATATAGTCTAGGTATGAACACCTGTTTGTTGATCATTAAGTTAGTACCTAGTTCCTTATGTTATTTTTTCTAAATGCGATTAAGTTGTTTGACTCATACAGTTATTGAAGGTTATTTACTTTACGTTGAGGAGTCGAAATAATGTGGAAAAAGCTGTTTCATAAGGAAACACCTTTTACTGTAAGGGGGAAGGTGTTACGTTGTCGCGGGTAGTGTCTTTAGTTCAAGCGATATTTAGGGTTATCGATATACGAGTGTTGGAAGCGCGAAGTTTGAAAGAAATGTAATAGAAGAAGGGAGAAAGGTGAAGTTGGCACATGTAGGAAACGATTTGAAATCAGTAGTTACTCATCCAAAAGGATAGATTTCAAGTTATTTATGTTTGAATAATTTCTCTTTATCTCCTTCTCCTAATATGCAAACCAATGCTAAGATGTTAAACACTCGCAAACTGGACAGTTGATAAATGACAGGGAATGGATTGGCAAATAGGAAGTCGTTTTAATTAATTAATAATTTCCTGATTGGATGTCAGTATCTAAGACATTTTGTTAATAAACAAATTGTATTTGTTTTTATAATTCGGCAAGGAGATGACGCTCCTTGCTTTTTTCTTCCACCATTCATCTCTGGACATTACAACTATCCAGACGCGTTCTCGAACATAGAGAGTATTTATAAAATTAAATTCATTTATATAAGTGTAAAAGGGTGTTGAAATTAAAATTAAAGAATTGTGAACAGTTTGAATTGAAATTGTTATTTAATTGAATACTCAAATACAAAATCACAATTAAAAGCGCCCCATAGGCGCTAGCTCACGCCATATTTCCCACGCAGTAAAATTCCCTAAGAAGAACGCAACAAATACATGTCGAAGATTTATGATAGTTACATATGTTGTGAATCTCGCCCTCATCTTGTAGCGGCGTCTAGCGTAAGCTTCACAAGCGTGAAATTTAAATTAAATAATTAAATTTTAATTATTATGAGTCGTTGGAGAATAGAGATTATATGTGGAGATA